ACATGTTTCAGATAGCCTCCCCCCTTCTATGGCATTGTTATATTCAGATCACTGAAGTTCAACATTTAACATTAATACTATTCTGATGAACTGTTATAATGGGCACTGCTTGCTAGTTAGCCACAAGCTTAAGATTCTATTTTCCCTTTGGTCATTTCTTTCACATAAACTAAAATGCTAATGATTTTGATGGGGACAACTTCTTGATTTATATATGATGGGAGATGTCATTCTGTATAAGTTTCTCATACTGGTTAATAATAAAGCACTGTTGGCCAATAGGAAAGGAAGATAGGAGGGACTAGGAGACAAGGAGGAAATAGGAAGTAGTTAGGAGGAGTCAAGATGGAGAGTCTGGAGAAAGCAGTATGCCGCCGGCTCCCCGGTAAGAGAAATACATAGATCAGCAGAAATGGGTTAATAATTAAGGCAGAGCTAGCCAATAAGAAACAAGTAACAGGGCCAACAGCATTGTATCAAATACAGAGTCTCTGTGTGTTATTTGGGGCTGGCGCAGTGGCAGGACAAGACCAAGCGGCCGCAGAAAAACCGTACTCCTTACATATATACATCCAGTATTCTAAACAAATAAAAAGTATATATCTGACCATCCACAGATATGTGCCCAAAAGATTGAGATGCAAACATACATAACATTACATATGCATATTAAACGCATAAGATTACACATTACAATGCAGCTTTTAGGGAGACATTGAACTGCTTTAACAAACGTGAACAACAGCTTTCATGGTCCTGCAGACCTTTTATAGACAGGATTAACCTCCATGAGATGGTCAATCCTCTGGGGAGTTGACATCTTAACATGAGTTGTCACATGCTACAATTCTCACCATCCCTGACAACACCCAATTGAGAAGGCCCAATCCAGAAAGTGAACCATTGGCCCTCTTGGATATCCCGCCATTCCTCAGAGTGGGGGAGGGGGGACTGGCATTGCCTTAGGGGACAGAGCCTGTGAGAGGTCCAGGTTGCTGCTGACCACCACCCTGCTAGTGTTTGAGGAGGCCCAATCCAGAAAACGGACCGTTCTCCATCAGGGACATCCTGATGTTGCTTAAAGCCAAGGGGATCTTTGGGCTAGACCGGATATCTGGGCACAGGATCCATTAGAGCTCTAAGCCCCTGCACATCTCTCTGCCCTCAGTGAAGGCCGGCCTGATGGCTCATTAGGTGTGACCATCATACATACCTGTGACCCGTGGGTACCTCCACAGCAGTGGTGTCTCCACTGGGGAACAAGCAGCCACCTTATGGGCCACCATCTTGATTCAATCTTCAAATATTTTGAAAATGTTCTGATAACAGAACTTTCAGATGTGCCAAGGCACGTTTACCAGAAATACAGCAATGCTCTGGGACTCCCTGCCCTGACTTTGTAACACAGGGCCTCACTTAGGTTCCGTCTCGGATGGGTCGCAGCCCCTGTGGCATCAGTGTCTGAGGCTCCTCCTTGGCGACTACAGACCTGGGATGCGGCCTGGGGCAGGGTACCCAGAACTGTGAAGAAGGTGCAGGATACTCAAATCCTCTGCCTCCCTTTCTAGCCTTCTCAAAGAGCCCTGTATGTATCAGTCATTTTTGCCCATTCCTGTCCTCCCTTCAAAGGCTTTGTGGGCTGTCCTGGAACTTGCTCTTGCAGCCCACTCTGGTCTCGAACTCACAGGCATCCTCCTGCCTCGGCCTCCAGAGGGCTGGGACTGAAGGTGTGAGCTACCACCAATTGGAATCCCTTCAATTTTTTTTTTTTTTTTTTTTAAGTGCCATCCATTCAGAGGCAGAGCTAATGAAACAATTTTCATATCTGATCCTAAAAGTGGAGGTCACTACCACTGATGTGACTGTAATTCAGGGTTAAAATATGACAACCAACTCAGACCAAAACACTTACTTAACTTAGCATCACGCATAAGTACTTAATTTACAATTATGCGTAGTCTCCCAAGTACCCATAAGTATAGTCCTCTAGGATTGTTTTCATCTTTGATGTCACCACGGATTATGAATTGAGTTTGATAATTTTATAAGATGAAGAAATCGACAGATTCAATGCAACCTCCATCAAAATCCCAGCACAAATCTTCACAGAACTTGAAAGGACAACACTTAACTTTATATGGAAAAACAAAAGACCCAGGATTGCCAAAACAACCCTGTACAATACAGGAACTTCTGGAAGCATCACCATCCCTGACTTCAAGCTCTACTATAGACCTTGGTACTGGCACAAAAACAGACAGGTAGACCAGTGGAATCCAATTGACGACTCTGATATAAACCCACACACCTATGAACACCTGATTTTGACAAAGAAGCTAAAACTACACAATGGGAAATAGAGACCATCTTCAACAAATGGTGCTGCCATAACTGGATTGGAAAATGTAGAAGATTACAGATACATCCATATCTATCTCCATGTACAAAACTGAAGTCCAAACGGACCAAAGACTTCAACATGAATCCAGCCACACAGAACCTCTCAGAAGAGAAAATGGGAGGTACCCTAGAATGAGTTGGCACAGGAGACCACTTCGTGAACATGATGCCACTAGAACAGACACTGAGATTGACAATTAATAAATGGGAGCTCATGAAACTGAAAAACTTCAGTAAGGCAAAAAGCACAGTCAACAAGACAAAATGCCCCCCCCACAGAATGGGAAAAGATCTTCACCTACCCCACATCTGACCGGGGGCTGATCTCCAAAATATACAAAGAACTGAAAAAGCTAACCACCAAAATAAATAAATAAATAAAATAAAAAATAAAAATAAATATGTGAGGTGCATAACTAAACAGAGAATTCTCAATAGAGGAATCTAAAATGGTCGAAACACGATTAAGAAATTGAAATTTCTCAACATCCTTAACCATCACACAAATTCAAATCAAAACATCTGTCAGATACCATCATACATCATCGTAATGGCTAAAATGAAAGAACACCAGAAACACTTTATGCTGGAGAGGATATGGAGAAAGAGGAACGTTCCTCCATTGCCAGTTGGAGTGCAAGCTTTTACAGCCACTTTGGAAATCAGTATGGGGTTCCTCAGGAAAATGGGAACCGTCTACCTCAAGATGCAGCAATTCAACTTTTAAGCGCATACAACAAAGGGTACACATTTGTACAACAAGGACATTATTTGTAACAGATCCTGGAAGCAACCTAGATGCCCCTCAGCCGAAGAATGGATACAGAAAATTTGGTATATTTACACAATGGAATACTGCTCATCGGGAAAAAAAAACAATGGAATCTTGAAATTGGCAGGTAAATGAATGGAACTAGAAGAAACCATCCTAAGTGAGGTAATCCAGTCACAGAAATACAAACATGGTATGTTCTCATTCATACACAGATATTGGAAATAGAACAAAGGTTTAGCAGACTACAATTCATGCCTCCAGAGAGGCCATAAAACAGGGACCTTAAGAGAGACATTCAAAGTCCCTGGTGAAGGGGGAAGGGACAAGAGCCCCTAAACCAATTGGGAGCATGGAGTAAGGGGGAGGGGGAGGAGGAAGAAGAGGAAGAGGGCATGTGGGATCCTGAAGATTCAATGGGGAGATGAGGAGAGGAGAGCAAGAAAAGAGACACATCAGTAGAGGGAGCCATCCTAAGTTTAAACAGAAATCTGGCACTAGGGAAGTACATAGAGGTCTGCACAGATGACCCCAACTAAGAATCTAAACAATAGTGGAAAGGCTACCTTAAATGCTCTTCTCTATAATGAGCATGATGACTACCTTAAATGCCATCATAGAACTTTCATCCAGTAGATGAAGGAATCAGAAGCAGAGATTCACAGCTAAGCACTGAGTCAAACTCCTGGAATCCAGTTTCAGAGAGGGATGAATAATGAACAAAGGGGTCAAGACCAAGCTGTAAAACCCACAGAAACAGGTGACCTAAGCAAGTGGGACCTCATGGACCCCAGTCTGACAGCTGGGGAACCAACATAGGACCAAACCTGGCCCTCTGAACGTGGGTGCCAGCTAGGAGGACTCCGCAGTCTACGGGACCTCTGTAAGTGGAACCAGGATGTATCCCTAGTGTGTTACGAGCAGGTTTTCCCCCCCAGACAGGTCCCAGAACCATGCCAGCACCAAATGGCACACAGAGACACAGTATAGACATACAGCTATTGGCCTGTTACTGCCATTTCTTATTGGCTACATCTGCCTTAAATATTAACCCATTTTTATTAATCTAAGAATTTTCACCTGGTCTTATCTTACCGGAAAGAGCATCCAGACTTGTTCTCTCTTGGTCCTACAGTTTGAATCTCCTACTACCTGTCTGCAAATCTTCCTTGTCTTCTAGTTCTGCCTACCTTGCTCTGCTATTGGCCAACAGGGCTTTATTCATGAACCAATAAGAGAAACATATTTCCAGAATGACATCTCCCATCACTAGTGCACAAAGGCACTTCAGGAGCCCATTCACTGTGGAGGGATACTTCTTCAGCCTAGAGACACCAGACAGACCTAGGCTGTAGGGCCCTGCATGGATCCCCAAGGCTCCTTGAGTAAGCCTGAACCAGTTGGACAGACTCCTTGCCTCAAAGCTGTTATTGGTACTCTTCCCGTTTTGATAACACACACCTCATGATAACACACACCTTGTAGGGAGGAGCTAAGCCTAAAAATCATGTTATTTTCCACTGTGCTACAAGTCAGTATTTAAGCCTGTTCCATCCCCTCATAAATGGCATTCAGCCATTAAACGAATGACCCCTGTCTCGTCTCTTTATTTCAATCTCTTGGCCTTGGCCCGATTCGGAACAGATCGCAGAGCAGGCGCTACACTAGGCCCTAAGCCAAATGACTTGACACACTTTAATGATCCCTCATGGAAGACTTCACCCTCCCGGGAGTGGACGGGGGATGGGATGGGGGGGATGCATGGGGGGCACGGAAGGATGGGAGGGAGAGGGAACTGGGGTTGATATGGAAAATAAGACTGTTTCTAATTTAAATAAATTTTATTAATAAAAATGATAAGAAACGAGGCTGTAACTGTACATAACATGTTACAGGCCTCTTATGACTGCTTTGGCACAAGCTGTGAAGATGCTGGCATAACTGTAGGGCTTGCTACAAATCCAATTCCGATGTGTATAGTTCCTGCCACTGCTGATCCCCTTGATAATCAGATAGGCACATTCTCCTTCCCCTCGGATGGAAGTCCTGAAGGAAAAACAAACAAAATTTCTGCAGAATCTGCCGCAGCATTCCTTCCTGCGATGATATCTCACCGCCACAGTTCACTTCACATGACACTGCCTTTCATCTCTCACAGCCACAACTCTCAACACGTCACAGCACATGATCACAATAGAAGGAAAGGTGTTCTGAAAACATACAAGTTGTTATAGTCAGTGTTGTCTGTCCACATCCAAGGGTGTCCTGATGACTCTCTGTGGAGGCCGATCCAGCAGTCAGAATCCCCCTTGAATCTCTTCAGAAAATTCTGTCATAGAACACAGAAGGCAAATACGTGTGTCTCTCTGCTTCCGATGACCCTTGAGTCTCTCTGCCCTGCAGCCTCCTCTGTGCATGGCAGCAGGTTAGAACTGAATGTCATTGACTTTGGAACCTAAATAACCTTCAGTTCTTGGTGGATGCACAGTACACTGACAACCACCCGTCATTCTGCAACTTACAAAGTCCCTGGTTAAGCCTGGATGTGCAGTTGTTAACAGTTGTCGCCTCAAGTATGCAACACCTGCCAGCTCAGACAAAGACGCAACATGACAATCATTCTTTTCAGTCAAATATATGCCTGGTCACACAGGTTGCCTATTAGCATTACAGGAGAGAATGTCTTAGGGATGCCTCAGAGCTACTGCCATCACAATTAGCACAGACTAACATGTGCCCCACGTCCCCTGCGTGCCTAGGGTGGGATCCTTTCTCATGCTTCATATTTAACCTCCTACCTCAAGACAGTAAATATTCAACAGACAAAACAACAAACTAATCCCTCGCCCTTTCTTACCAGCTGCTCTAGGTCGTCAAATTGAGCTAGCTGGGCTCCTTGTGCCATGCAGGAGGTCTGGCTGGATGTCCAGTTTGCCATTTTTTCAGAAAAATAAAAACATTTACCTCCAACTCCAATCCAGTGTCTTGGACAAAAAGCACAGATATTTCCTGCATTTAAAATAACAAAATAAAGAAAACTCCTTATTTCTCTGAATTTCACTATGGATAAATACCAGCATGCAAAACATGACATGGTCAAAATAGGTTTTAGATACCAAAACATGGGTGAGGCCTTCCTGTCATTATGTCACATATACATCAAAACCATGTGAAAATACACTGGCTCTTGTTACAGGCAGTCATGGAGAGGGAGACATCCACCCAGCCCCACCTGTGGCACCGACCACGCCCATATGGGCGTGGCCACAGGTGTGCAACTGAGCCTGTGTAATTTGGTCTTGGGTCCTGGACAGGTTAGGTCTCTCTCCATTCCAGTTGAGTCACGGACAGCAGCCTGGCTATGGGTCCTTGGGGCGGGAACTTGTGTGTGTCTGGTTTCTCCTGTGACTTTTCCCAGAATAAAATATATAACCTATATTTTACCCTCGCCCCATTTATCCAAATCTGTACATCATCGCTGTCAGAATGGCAATTATCGAGAAATCTCACAACAGATATCAGAACTCTGTGAAGAAATAGGGACACATATTTGTTGCTGGTGGGAGCATAAACTGATACATCCAATATGGAACCTTTTTTTAAACTTAAAAATAGAACTTTTATGGCCCAACTGTGCCATTCTTGGGCCGTACATCATAACACAAAGACACTGGCACAGCCACACGTATTGCTGTCCCATTTACAATGGTAACAAAACTGGCCTGACCTAGAAGCCCCTCAACTGATGAACAGATGATGAAACTTTGGTGCGTAAATGACTCAGACATTAAAAAAAAAAAAAAATCACGAAACTTGCAGTAATATGGGGAATCTGAAAGTATAATGTATAATATTACATTCTCCCTTGCATGCTTATAGCCTGTAATGTACGGTGAAAATCGCTGTGCGTGTGGTGTGGGCATGGTAACATAGAAAGTAGAACAATGAGGAGGGTTATTCGGGGACAAGGAAGGACAGGGTGCAGCCATCGGCCCATGAGCCAAGAAACAGGTTGTAAAGGGAATAGTTTTTTGTGGTTTCAACTCTGCCAGTTTTGCTTTTATTTGGTGGTGGATAACTACAAAATAATGTGACTGACGATCAAGGTCTAAAACCATAACCAAAGCTCCATAGCTTCAGAAAGGCTATTCTGTGTGGAAGTTCAAGGAGATAGAGTTTGGGCCTTGACACATGTTGGAGTGGCTATGTTAATGGACCTGTGTGATGTGTTCATTCATGAATCTATCATGATAAAAAGATTCTGTGTGTGTGTGTGTAAGACACTGGATGCAGCAACGTTTCAAACTACCACGTAGAAAAATACAGACAATTTTCTTTTATAAATTTGCCTTTTTTTTTTTTCCTTTCACAAATAAGAATGAATGCATGGCTCTTTTGAAGGGCTACTAGCCTAGAAATAAATTATTTGATAAGTAATATTGTATACTAGAAATGAAATACTAACACACACTTGTTTGAAATGGAGGGAAATTTGTTGTAGCTATTCCCAGTTCTTATACCCAGTAACCACAAGCTTAAACGAAAAGAAAACAAGCAATGAGCACTGAAGTTAACTAGCTCTTCTTTCTTATCTGACTCTTTTCAGAACTACATAATAGTTTAGGTTACACTGACTACCTCTTGTTGGCAAATGTGTGTCCATGTTTAGACATGGACATGATGTCGTTAAAGTTGATATGATAGCTCAGGAATAATAGATTTCTGGAACATGCTGTTTAATATTCTCTGGCCACAGTTGAGGATGTTAACTGAAACCGTGAGTCGGGGTGTGGAGCATCGCTGCCTTCCCCGACCCTCTCTCTCCTCACTGCCCTCACCCCTCAGCTGCAGCAGCCTCCTTGAGGATCCTCCTTTGGGTTTTACTCCTCTTGTTCCCTGCCTAGAAGAGTTCCCGAAGGTGGACTTATGTCTCCTGCACCTCAGTCTAGAGGTTGCTGAGTGCCATCTTCCCAGGGATGCTGAGCCTGGACTCCTGTGCACAGCACAGCCTGCGCTATCCCTCCCCTGCATCCTCCTGCTAGACCCTAAGGACAGGAGTTTCTGCTGTGCTTTCTCCAGAGCCCTTCCCACAGTGCCTGGCTCACAGTCATCAACAAGTATTCACTAACAATGGGAATGTGAACTGAATACCACAGACTCTGGAGAACGAGTCACTCACCTGACAACGACAGAGCAACAGAAAGGACAATGACAGCTACAGTGAGGACCGCGATCACTGCATAGCAGCAGTAAAGCTTAGCAGGAGACTCAGGGGAGACCATTCTGAGACACTGTCCTTGGAGCTTCTTACCTGTTAAATATGAATATAGGAATGCCAAATTTGATTTGCAGTTCATATTTTGTACTCAAGGACCGCGGTATCTCAAACTTATCTTTGGAAAGCACAAGCATTAAATAGTACATTGGACATTAGAGAGGGAAAAAAATAAGTTCAGAATTGTGGAGTTATTCATATTTCATTTACCATGAGGACATTTTAGTGTCCTTTGACTGAAATTTTGAGAACTGTAATTTAGTCAACTCGGTGTCAGTTGTTAATACTCATACTGGAATCATTAATGTACAACCTTTGCTATACTAGATAACTGTTTATGGATGAAACAGTCAGAGCTCACTCTGTCAGCAACTAGACATGATGCTTATGAACCTTCAGATACAATGTAACTGAATAGGCCGATTTACATTTGGGTATAGGTAAAGCCACTGGGGACATCCCAGACGAATTTTAAAATACCATTTCATTTTGATTCAGCCTCTCCTTTTGCAGGAGATGCTGTAGTCACAAAAGCATATGCATTATCAAGCTTGCCTGTAAACTTTTCATGAAAAGTTGGCCACTCAGTTCGTGGCATCAAACTATGAACTATCCCCTAATGTTCATCACAGAGGCTGGTAGTCATGGCCAGGTAGGTCTTTTTGCCTCCAGACAACTTAAGACAGGTCACACATGATGAAATGTGTGTTCTGACGATGGATAAGACTGGAACGTGGAAGAAGATAACCTAAGACAGACACAGCCACCATCTGTCCTGTAGCAAAACCACATTTTGTCAGTGCACATAAAGATGTCTGCACTCCATCTTGGCTCAAGGGCAGAGAGTTCAAATCTGTCCTCGTTAACTTATAAGACCTGAAGATCAAAAGTGTGGCTATACAGTAGGGTGTTTGGCTGTCTTATGTAAATAACAACAGACCTGACCTGAGGTGTGGCTACTCTTGACACTCAAGGCTAGAAAACAAGAAGTTGGATCTAAGGTGTGGTTACTGAACCCTTATAGTGAGGAGGAAGGAAAGTCTGTTTGTTCTGTATACATGAGACTATGTTCTCCTATTTGGGTAAGGTGTGTAAGAGTGGTGAGAAATGAACGCATGGTGTTTCACTATTAACTAAATCTGCGTTCCTAATTTTTTTCTAAGTGTCACCTTAGAGAACTTCGTTCTTTAAATTGATAAGTCTATACATACATACAAACACATATACATATATAAACCATTTACATCAAGGGAAAAACATAAATATAACATAAACAGAGTATAATAATGTATTAATAATGTAACATAAGAAAACATGATATAGACATGGAAATAAACACTGAAGATAATATAATAGTATACTATACTGAAACAAAATAAACAAGGATAGATGACAATGAATATTAGATACTATGATATTATAATACATTAAAACATAAAATGAACATGTGGTTTTCCTTGAATCAATTATTCAAGAAGGACAAGGCAGGCATGTACAAGTTTGTCCCTTCTATATGTTTTCTTTTTTTTTTTTTTCTTAAAAGACTCAAATAAATTTATTTTCAAATCTTAGCCTCTTTTCATTTTACAGCAGAAGCCATGTGATGCTTCAGATCAGAGCTCTTCCAAGCGCAGAGGCCCCAAAAACAGAAGCTGTCACCAGTAGCTGCTAAAACAAACACCAGGTCTTAACTGTACCTCTTGATTCTGAAACTCCCAGGGTGCAACCCCACAATCCGTCACTCTGGACTCCCCACATGACTGTTGCACGCTGACTGATATCTGAAAACCTCTGCCTCAGCCACGATGATCACCAAAATCTATAGGAGATTTAGGTAATAGGACAGTGGCTTCTAAAATATGAGGTGACAAGGGGCATAGATGAGGAGAGTGCTCTCAATTTCTAGAGGAACTAGAACACGTAGCAAGCTCTAGAGCAGGACAGAGAGCAGGTACGTTCTAGATGTTTCAGGAGGGCTCCACTGCTGTTCCCGTGAGCAGATATCAGAATGGTTTTGTCCTTTAGTATTTCGGGAGCAATCCTTTCCTTCCTGGACGGAAGAAGCCTTTCCAGGACATCCTTCAAGCTTTCTGAACATGGCAGTTGATCCAGGGCTACGTCGCACACTCTATACCCTCCCTCATCATAGATCTCATGGAAGTAGGGATGGGACTCCTCAATGGGAGGCGGGGTCACATTGTAGCTTCTCCTCCAGAGCCTTCCTGCTCTTCACCATGATTCAGGGCCATTTTCTCCCTGTTGAGGCCAATCAAGGCTCCATACTGATGCTCATTGAGACACCAGGAGCTCTCCACGGGGACCCATTCCTGCCCCAGCTCTTCCAGGATCAGCCAGGCTGTGTGAATGGACCGGTTGAGAATGGACGTGAAGACTAGATCAAACTCAAAGTTCAGGGCTTTGAGTTGCTTCCCACAGTCCCGAGCCTCCTGCAGCCCTTCACTGTTAAGTTTCTGGTCCACCCAACCACAAAATCGGGTCTGTTTATTCCACTCGCCCTCTCCGTGTCTCAGAATGATGAGTCTGTGCTTGGACACGCAGGTAGCCGAACTTCCCTGGTGTGCTCAGTGGGATAATGTTCAAGAGCAGCAGGGTATCTGCAAAGAAGCAAGAGCACAGCCTCTCCCCAGCAGTCCCCAGCTGTGGGCACCAGCAAGGATTCATGTCTAACCACCAGCACCGACGCTCTTTTCTAGTCCCATATGTATTCTCTTGTATGTTATTTATGAGAAGACCTGAGAGAACTTCTTACGGAAGATAAAGTAAACTAAGGGTGAATCATGAAAGAGCAACAAATAGAAGCAGTGAGCATCACAGTGGAAGCAACACCAGCAGGTTACTGCATTGCTCTCCATAAAAACGCTTCTGGTTAGAAGGGGCACTGGAAACACTAAGGGAATAAAATAAACTAGACCGATTAACAAGTAAGAAAAGTGGAAAAATAGAAATATCAATCAATACACAGCAAAACTGTTCGAAAGTTAAGAATAAAAGAACTATGCCACTCCTACAAAATTATCCACTAAAAATCAAAACAGTAAGTCCAGCTGCCGTCTGCTTCATTCCCAAGGCCGCAGTTAAGAATGCTTTCCCAGATTCCGGGGCAGGAGTAGAATGTCTGCACACTACTCCAGGGCGACTTTGCACAGGAGGGCCAGCCAGGGCTAAGGAATAGTCACAAGGCTGGACAATGGCTCATCAGGGAAGAGCACTTACTGCTCTTCCACAGGACACAGGGTCAATTCCTCGCACCCACAGAGAGCTTACAATGTTCCCAACTCCAGTTCCAAGGGACCCATCTTTAGGCATCAGGCACTCATATGATGAGCAAACATGCAGGCAAAACAGCCGTATACATACCAATAAGTTCCTTAAAAAAGACAATGAATTTATACTTCTTGAAAACAGATGAAAGCGTTTCTCTTCACAGATTATGTGGTCCTATCTGCATAAAATATCGAACAAATCTACAAAAGACTACTGGATGTACAAAAAAAAGAAAAAAGAAAGAAAGGAAGGAAGAAAGGAAGAAAGAAAGAAAGAAAGAAAGAAAGAAAGAAAGAAAGAAAGAAAGAGAGAAAGAAAGGCGTTCCCAAAGCTGCAGGATATGATGACAGCATGGTAAAGTTTGTTGCATTTTTCAGGCAAATGGAAATTATTGTCTAGGACAGCACTATTTATACTAATAAAAATTTAAGAGACAAATGAAAGAAAAAGTTCATAATCAGCATAACAAAAACTACATGTAAAACTACAAAGAAACCATGGCAAGCCTGGAGAGTTGGGTCAGGGGTTAAGAGCACTTGCTACTCTTCAAGAGGACCTGGGTTCCATTCCAGATCTCACACAGCAGCTTGCCACCATATACAATTCCAGTTTTTGGAAATTTGAGGCATATTGCAGGAGATTTCATGGCACTGTGAAACTCCAAGACTGTGCTAACAAAATTAACCTTGGATCAGGGGCAGAGCCAGGAACTAATTGTCAAGAATTAGCCATAGAGAGTACAAAGGACACAAGAAGATGGATAGAGAGACACACAGGAAGTGGAGAGAGGGACTTAGAGACTTCATGGTCTTTCTGTTATGGGATATATGGAGAGAGACCTGTATAATGGGTAGCCAACTACAAAAGGGAAGGTCAGCTGGTTCTTCCTCTACTGCCTCTGTGATCTATCAGATATCACCCCAATATCAGACTCCTGAGTCTTCACAGGTAATACAACAACTTAGGTAAAAACACCAGATGCCCTTCCTGACCTTGGTGGGCACTAGGAATTCACGTGATGCAGATGTTTATACACGCAAAAAAAAAAAAAAAAAAAAAAAAAAAACCTAATATGCATAAAATTTTAACGAGGAGGAAGGAAAGAAAACAAGGCAGTTCTAAACACATAAGGAACTGGAACACTCAATGTTACTCACATATCATCAACATTCTTGAGCTAATTTATACATGCAAGAGTTTCACTTGCTGGGAGTGGTTTCCTTCCAAAATAAAACAAAAACAAGAACACCGCAACAAATTATATGAAAAGTACTATGGAAAGTAGAGAAAGTAGAATAGTCAGAAAAGGATCCAAAAGAAGAACAGGTTGAATTCAGCGGGCATGCTGCCTAATCCCAAGACTCATGGGAACAGAAATAAAGACGGCCTGATGCTAGCACAGGAGTAGACTGTTGTGAGACATTCACTGGGTCCACACCTGTTGCAACAACCACACCTGTTGCACTAACCAGGTTTGGACCTGACCTTGGAGAACTAGGTCTGAGGTCTGGGACCCCAGAGGCTCTCTCTTGCTTCCTGGTTGGAGACAGATCTGGAGACCTCCTTGGGACAGGAACCTGCTGGAAGTCCTCTGTCTCTGTTGTGATTTCTCCCTGAAATAATATCTATCAGCCTATCTGTTTTTCCCGATCTGTATTTATTCCACGATATTAGACACTAGGACTATACCGCAGAGAAGAAGAAGAAGGAAAAAAAACAAGAATCCAAAAATTACATCAAACACACATGGTCCAAAGTTATTTCACACAGATGTACAGTTTTTAGACAGGGAAGGCCGGCATGGTTCTAGTATGTATGTGCTCCTAAAGTAACCTGATGTCTGTCTGCAAGAGACAAGACTCAAGCCTGACTGAAGCTGTAGACCTAAGCACAAAGCTAAGTATTGCTCAGCCGTTTAATTCTGTAAAAAAAGGATGTGGTGCGAGATCTTGGCTTAGGCAAAAGTCATCTTACCTTCAAGAGCAAAATCACTGTCTGTGTAGCAGGGGTTGATGAATTTATGTGTTGATGTGACTCTAATGCCTTTCTTTTAGACAGGCAAACTTGCTCAGCCACTAGGAAGCTGTACAGCTATTTGTACAGGGGATACGTGGTGATGTGCCCACATATCCCCAAGCGGCAAAGGAAAACTGCATTTAAATTTTAAGAAAAAAAGAAGAAGCAACCTTTATATTCATATTTTTAACAGCTTTGTGGATCGCTGTGAAAAGTGGAACATTTGTAAACCTGCACTTCCCTGTTTGTCATGCAACTTTTCTAGGCCAAAGTCCCTAAACTAATCAGCAAGCTTCAGCAAGCTCTCAGGCAGAGAGCCACAGACCAATATGTCCTTCCGGCTTATTTGAAAGAAGCAAAACCAACTGCCATGACTCACTTCCTCCTGTCCCTTCTCCACAAGTTTCCGCCAGCTTCTCTCCTTTGTTTAAGATTTGATTTGAGGTGCTAGCGTACTTCTGAATTTGGAGCATTGTGCCTGTGTCAGTGGTGCTGTGGATACACACTCTCTTAGAATCAAGCCATCAGTGTGTCTGACATGGGATTAATAGACACTGCGATTCCTGAAGAGCAGCAGTATGCAAGGCGTGACAAAGTGACAGAAGTCAAATGTGAAGTCTCTGCTACAGGGATCCATTTTATGGCACTCTGGAAAAGTAAGTGTGTAAAGGCTGGGGACAGAGGTACAGGATGTGTGCATCCGGGAATGGGAAGGTGCGGTGGGGTGGGGGTCTACAGACCCTTTATAAGCTATTGTTCTACATTTAGTTTTTGTGTATGAGTGTTTTGTCTGCATTCATGTATATATGTGTACTACATGCATGTCTACTGTTAGGGAGGAATCTGGACCAGTGTTAGATCCCAGGAGTTGGAGTTAAGGGTGTGTGTGAGCTACCATATGGGTGTTGGGAATCAAACCCAATCTTATTCAAGAGCAATACATGTTCTTAAGGGTTGAGCCTCTACATGCCTTGATGAAGAATACGTGATTAGATGTTTTCAAAATTCATAAAACCCTATACAAAATGAATTACTTTCACTGAATGCCAAATGTACTCTACAAAGTTTCCACTGAGTTTATCCATTGCCTTTTGCTGGTTCTCACTCCCCTCTGTCCCGCTAACAACGGAGGAGAAGGATATGTAAGACTGGAAGACTTTAAGCCCTAAACTGGGGCCTTTAGATTTTGGGTTCACAGAAAACTCTGGACCCATTCTTTATTCACACGTGTTCATTACAGCTCCAGAGCTTGTCAGCATGTGAGCAATCTGGTTTCCCCTGGGTCCTCCCCATAGCTCCTCCAATTACTTATACATAATACATTTTAGGAGATTTCTAAACCCTTCATATGTTGAAAATATGGGATTTCTTTTGATTTCTAGTTCTGAATTATGCTTCAAAAAAAAAAAAAAAAAAAGATCCTTCCAAATCCAGTCTGATTTTAGCTAGTTGTCTGGCTAACGAGCACTGTTAGGCTTACAATGCCTGACCAATTTCTCGGAACATGTCACTCAGGTCCACCCATGTTGTTATATGTGGGAGTAGTTAAGTTTTGGATCCTCAATTATTGGATATCCTCCACCACCAATGCAATAAACCTCTCGACCCAAATTGATAAATCCAGGTTTAATCTTAAAACACCAAAGAATCTCCCAGGTGGCTCTAGGGAAGCAGGGGAGAGACCAGGTCTTAAGTGCCCTGTGGGAATGGTCTTGAGCAGCCCCAAGGAGGATCGGCTCTCTGAGGGGGCAGCATCTGGATTGGGAAGATTGAGACTGGGGTGTGGAATGCTCCCCCCCACCTGCAGCCCCCAGCAGGAATATGTGTCCCAGTTTTCCCCATTTATTCACCGATAGAAGCAGGGGCGTTCCGTGTGCTAATGTGAACCCTGTTACAATATACAAAAAAAAAAAAAAAAAAAAAAAAAAAAAAAAAAAATCAAGCACAAGTATCTCTTGGAGGAGGTAGATAAGGAGACAATACTTTCTATAAAGTGTGTCAGATCTGGTGTTAAAGGATACAGTAGGATCAGTATAGGTCACAGTGAAAGTGTTTCTAAAAATAAAGTTGGGGTTCCTGACATATTCACCATGATCAAACAATGAATGCATGAGTTAATTTTAATGTGCCTGTCAAATAACATGTCTGCCTCTGGCCTGGAGCTGTTCAGACTGATTTACCAGTAGGGGCCTCCACTGGCCCCAGAAAAAGCTCCTCCCACCTTCGGCTTCAGCAGCCATATGTGGTCAGATCTGGGAGTCATGTGATGGAGAAGCTGCCATGTTTGAAATTCAGCAACTTTCTGGCCTAGTCTCAGGCCCTTACGGCCATCCCGGTATTTCTCTAACTCTTAATCTCTCCGGAGAACTTGGCTTACCTGAGAAACAGTAGTCATGTTCAGGAGCTTTCTGTTTTGGTATTAGTCACATGCTCTGGCTAACCCCGGGATTATGTGATGTGGTGGCACCTGAGGGGCAGCAGGCAGAGACCCACACCTGCTGCTCTATCCCAAGCAGGGGCTCTTCCGTCTGTTTAAAGGGTCCTGGGTGGGTGTGGAGGGGACCCTTCACCTGTGCAGTGGGTGGCTCAGGACAGGACCCAGGGACTCAAGGGAGGCCTGTGAGAAGGCCTTCCCCTTCAGTCTGTCACCCCCCAGATCAGTGTGTCCCATCGTCACAGCAGGGGGACTGTGCACCTAGGGGAACTTGGTCTCATCCCCTGAGATGGCCACAAGACCCCTGAGCTAACAATAATGGGGAACTCTGTTTTTTGAGGAAATATTCTATTCCTACCCAGAAACATTAAAGCCCGGGAGGAGACAGGTTCAGTGTGGCTGCCCTGGCAGAGGAAGGACCCGGTTCCTGAGATTTTAAAAGAATGAAACATAAAACATTTTACAAAACGAGAGGATACAGTTTTAAAATAGAAGCCTCCCAATGTCCTTTTTCAATCTCTGACTGTAAAGTAAAACTGTAGGTGGATTTGCAGACAGGGTCAATGTCACGTCCCCGCCCGCCTGAAAAACCTGGGGTACAGCAATAGGACAGTGGGACCTAGACTGTCCCCTGATGCCATGGAATCACTCAGGAGTACTCCGGTGCCCTCCAGAGGGGAAGAACTCTGACAGGTGGGATGCCAGGGGGAAAAGGCCCATGGGGGGGGGGGGTCGGGAAAGGAAGATGGGGGTGGGGTGGAGAAGGGGCACTTTAGAGGTGCACTGGATGGCAGTGATGTGCCTGAGCATGCCCAAAGTCCCTCAGGAATCCTCCAGGATTCCCAACACCGCCTTTGCTTTACAAAATCAGAAAAGCTTTTTATCTCTTCCTGCCGCGACCGAGTTATCACAATCAAGTGTGAATCGCGAGGTCTGGTGGCTACAAATATCGATGAGCCTGCGGGGGAAAATGTAATCAGATGGGCAGGTTGTTCAACCCAAACTCCTACACCACATGGCTATGGTCCCTTTAATTCGGCAGAGTGAGACAAGAGTAAATTTAACCTCACTGGCTCTCTGCTCCTTGCCTGTATCTGAGGGCAAAGCTAGTGGAGCTCAAATTCCTGATCCCTGAGAAGCGTGCTGTGGGTTGCTCTTCCACAAACAGGTTTAAATAACATTCGACGCAATAGAATTATACAGAATTGCTCCGGGCGGTTCCACCACCACCACCACCCCGCACCCGCAGAGTTCCCTACGCCGCCCCCCCCCACCGCCTCCCGGCCCCTGGTCCCTACCGACCTCTAGTGACCCCAGGGGCGGGCAGTCCGCTAGCGGATGAAACTCCCTTCTCTCCTTTTAATTTAGTTCACGATTCATTACTTACGTACTTTTTTTTCTCACTCTGTCTGAGGTGGTACACTCTGCAATTAACATTCTCATAAAGGCTTTACACCATCTATGCTCTTGCCGAAGAACAGGAACTAAAATGAATAAAGTGGGCATTTGAAGACAACGAAGAAACTACAGTGTGGGCGGGGCTGAAATCAATTGGTTTTGAGCAGCTCTGCCCAGCACGCCCAGCAACTTCTTGCCTCATACATCCTAGACCTAGTCACCCTATAGGCTCTTAGTATCTGCTTGTTGGAGAAATGGAATTCCAAATTTGGAGAGTGAGTGTGACGTTAAAGACATGTGTCGTTTTTCATTGCAGCAACTTCACACATTTTTCTCTGCCAAAGTTGGGATGACAGCGGGTGTTTCACTGCCCTGTGCAAATCAGCCTAAAAGGAAAATGCGTGCAAAAAGATGACATGTAATTGCCAGCCCTTTCCAACCCTTGTGAAAAAGAAAGTTTCTAGTAAGAAGCAACTTTCACAGACACTTCTATAGGACTGATTAGCAGTGACCATAGAGGGTTTGAAAACCTGTGACTCTGGAGCCATCTACAGCCCTCTTTTTTAAAAACTTATTTTATCTTCTGAATATTAGTGTTTCCCCTGAACACAATACCTATGTCACCTTGTACGACCCCGGGTGCACATCGAGGACAAAAAGCTCCTGGACTGAGGGTCTCCCGGAAGTGAGCCAGCTCTCCAGCCCCCATTTCTAATCCTCTCAATATCTGTTTATTGCTAATCTCTGCCTCTCACCTCTGTGACCATGAGGTAACTCAGAAAGACTAGCTTTCTTTGCACGGTATTAACAGACAGATAGATCCCACAAACCCAAAAGCTAAGAGCATCATCAGGGACCATCTGACCCCTGTAACAAAGGCACCCATTTTGCTGTAACTGCCTCTCTGCTGTTTCCACCAAACTCCTTGCAAAGTGTCTTCATGTGTGGCTTCCTTTGGTCTGTGACTATAAAGACTCCATTACCACCTTGGAACATGGAGTTTGGGGTAATATCTAAAGGAGAGTTCCTGGGCCACGGTCACTCATGTTGTCTCCAGAGTAAACTCTTATCCCCCTTTGATGAGAGAGTTGTGTTTATGCACACAATGGGCCTTGTCTGTCTGGGAACAGGATAGGAGAGCACATTCCCACTGTAGGAAGAGTGAAGCAGAGAAGAGGTAGGCCAGATGTCAGCAGGGTGAGGGTGCTTTATAGGAATCGAGTAGGGCCCAATCTTTCCATGTCATAAAGGTGGAAGATTGAGAACATTTAGAAGAGCTTGAGGAATATGTGTGTATCAGTGTGTTTGTGTGTGTGTGTGTGTGTGTGTGTGTGTGTGCTTACCAGAAAATAACAGCTGTATTTACAGTGGGTTTAGCTCACTACCCAGGCATATTGCTCCTTCAGGTGGGATTGAAATGTCACTATGGGGTAAGCAATTCCTTCTGGCCTGTGGCTACAGCTCACTGCATCCTGACTCAATTCCTTCTGACCTGAGTCTCTTATTCAAAATATCCCCACTCTCGTAGGGTACAATTAAAAATACTGTAGAGGAGTCCTCATTTGCTGGTTGGTCCCAAAGGAGTGGGCAAGTTGAGGATGCTTCCAGGTTATATAAAACCCCCAAGTCTGGGGACTTGAAGCGTCCAGTGATGTTCTGGGCCCATGAAAACATGCAGTCTTTGTTGGATTATGTTGGTGAGTTGGCTAAAAAAGCAGGAACCAAACAATAAAGTTAGCCAATTATAATGATTGGGCCTGTGCTAAGAGCAAGATCCACAGTCCCCAAACAAAGGGAAGGAACTTTCAGGAAGTATTGTCTGAGCATTCTCTGTGTTTGATTATTTTAATAATTTTCTAGCATCCCCCTAACTGGCCAGGTTCATCGTCATGAAAGCACATTCTTTTCCTGGAAAGGCACAGATGCCCCCTTTCAGCTGTTATTAAATCCAGGCCTCTGGAGTTTGGGAAGACTACCACAGCCAGGGAATCTGAGATCTTAGCATGGCTATGCTCTGCTGTACCAGGGTGGGGTCTTCCTTGATACGATGGTTCAGGTGGCTGTGCTGTACCTGCTGGAGCCCTACTGCTCCTGCTCAGATGCTGGTTACCCCTGGTGCCTTCTCCAGCAGTGGGGGAGTAGAATGAGGCTTCTGTTTTTCCTGATAATATGAACAAGATATTAATATGCTTCCTGTGACAGGAGAACACCTAAGTCATGACTAAAGAAGACTAGGATTCATTTCCCTCCAGGGCAGCAAGTGTGGCTGCAGGCCTGGCATGCAAACAAAGTAAGTCCCGTGTGATGCCCTTGCCTAGGGTGTCAAGTGCATATAATGTGTTTCTGGTCCTACACAGTCAGCCTTTCTAGTTATCTAATTCAGGGGACTGGCTAAGCAGTGCTAATTGACTAGTTGATTTGTATTACGTTACATGTGCCTACCCTGTGTATTGATTTTACTCAGCTGGCCTCTTTAGAAACAGCCCTCTCAGTGGAAGTAGTGGGGGATGAGCAGCTTCAGATAGAAGAGCAGAGCCTGATTGCAATAAAGAAGGTAGGTAAGTCAGGATATTGAAGGCTCCAGGAATATAGGAATATAAAAGTGTAGGTCAAATATATTTGGGGGAAATATGAATATATATAAACTAATGCATATAATATACATACATACATATATACATATACATACACACACACACACATATATATATATATATATATATATATATATATATATATATTATTGGCAGCCACTGTTAACCGTTAACGACCACTACTGCCTTCAAGAGCAGACATCCAGGCAGCCACTGTGTACACAGCAAAACTTTTATTAATTGTCTCATACCTCTCACCTTCGCAGCTAGTCAGGTACTTCAGACAAAGGTTTGCTGGTACCTATTGCCTCTATGGGACCCTCTTCGTTGCATCCCCTGAATTTCTGACTGTCCTCCTATGTGACTCTGCTCTCTGTCTTGTATTCTTTCAGGGACAGCACTGTCAGCCGCAGGCTTTCCCAAACGTCTTGAGTTCACCTCCTAACATCAAAATTGTAACACTTACAAGCTAATGGGACTTTAAGCCTGACATCAATATTATAAAAACACTTTGATTCCCTAGTCCTTGATTTTACTGTAAGAGTCTGGAAACCAGCCCCTGTTGTCACAATTTGATAAGACCGATCTCTGACTGGGATCATAGTTATTTGGTAAGCTTTTTGTGCACTGTGGTGATTTTTTTTTAATAAAGTTTGCTTCTGGATTTATAGAACTTAGTGTTTTTCTCATTATTTACCCCTCCCCCTGACCCAACAGATATCAGCCCTCAGAGGGGGTGGAGCTTGTGGGGAAGGAGTGTGTGGCTTCTTAAGGGCAGAGGAAGCAGCCAGCAAGGCAGCAAAAGAGAGGCAAGCCTGACCTTCACAAGACTGTGTTTATATTGGTGGAAACATGGAGACCGGGTCATCTCAGTCTCACTCACAAGGAAGGATGGGCCATACATGTCATGCCATGTGGGTAGGTGAGCAAATGTCCACACCATGAGAGTGGATAACAGAAAATTCCCACCGGAAGATACTGGCTGCAACCTTTGAAGGGGCAGAAATGACTTCCACAGTCCAGAAGCTGAGACTTCACCAGAGCCTCGGGGATCAGGACAGCTATTGAGCAGGAGTGTCTTGAGGGTACAAGGTTGGTTCTGGAGAGCATTTGTTGTCAGAGCAGAGGTACGTTTTCACAGGGCAGTCTGTTGGGGCATTGGTCAGCCTGTTTTTTGAGAAGACAGTCGAATCATGTGCCTCCCTGGTGTCCCCTGCAGTGGGGAATGGCTGTTGGGGAAGATCTGCTTCATTTCTGTATGAGAAGGGAGTTCACCATGGATGTTTCCTTCCTTCTGGCTGGGAAATGTCTTTCTCTCCAGAGTAAGGTGCTGCATGTATTGTTTGTGGATGAATTTGAACCAGTGTGTCTACATCAGTACAAGCCTGGAAGCGAGTGTGAGAGTGCCGGTGAGGCCCCTCAACTCTGCATTGGGAAGCTGTGTGAACAGGAAGGGATTTGATTCCACTCAGTGCGAACTTGGGAAACTAGCAGGGCTCTGCTGTGCCCACATCAAAGCAGCCGCACCCAGCAGCACAGCGCACAACTAGCTCAGATGGGCTACGCCCTGACGTCGGCACGCATGAACGGAGCTTCCTGTGTTGCTGAGGCACGTTTACGTCTCCACCTGTCATTTCCTAGTTGTGGACTCAAGAGGAATAGGACGTCCCTCATGCGTTAGTTCCCCCCCCCCCGCACCCCCTCCCCAGGAACCCTGCTATATCTTTTAGGATCTCACAGGTGGCGCCAGGGTGCTACCTGCACACCGCTCCCGGGTGTGGAGAAGCCCGAGTGGGCGGCTAGGGGTGCGGGTGCCCGCCCAGTGCAGCTTCCAGCAGAACAACCCGCTTGACTGTTTCGAGAACTTCCTGGAGCCCTTGGGCTCATGTCAAGGACCTGTTATATTGTCATCTCCACCGTTCAGTTCTCTGGGCCCCAGATCACATTTTGGTCAAATGGAAAGGAAAAATAAATAAATCAATAAATAAAAACCGGATAAGGCGGACGCAGACAAATTCCTCCGCTGAACACGCCTCAGCACAGACCCTGCAGCAATAGGAACACTGCCCAGCTCTGTGGAAGGAAGTCACTGAACACATCTGGGAATGGGACTTGCAGGGCAGCTCAGGAAGAGTGGCCACTAGAACAGCCCTTGCAGTACTAGGGTGATTTCAACACACAAAATGGGACGGCAGAATAGTCCGTTCCCAACAAAGTTGCAAGGTCTGCCGGTAGAATTTGTTTCTGGATTTCAGAGAGGCTCGTTGACTATATGTGATTGATAACTTTTTCTTAGTCGAAGGAGACTAAAGCACCACAAGAAGGGAGTGGGGAGCATTAGACTTGTGAAGGTTGGTGCCAATAGAAACATCAGCACACCAATAATAATCTGGAATTGTTTGGCTGTGTGGACCTCATTTTACCTCATTTTTTTTTTTTTCATTACCTTGAAATTAAATATAGTTAGTTCAGGTCTGT